AATATTTTATGAAACTGTTAGTACAAACATTATTTTGTGTGAAACTCCTGATTTTGTAGGAAATACAATAAATACTTGTCCACATTACTCCTCAAAGGTAACTGCAACTTCATTGCTGTTTTGGAGTGTGCAAGTTGGCTGCGTATTGTGATGGTAATAGGAATATTATTTCTAAGCAATTTATTTTAATTCCAGGTGTTCTCAAGTCCTATGACGACAATGGGTTGCAGTAAAAAGCAGTAGAAGAAATGCCTTCACAAGAAATGGGTAGGCTTTTTCCAAGGTTCTCCAGCTACAAAGATATAAACTCAAATCAGAAAAGATGATAATTTAAAATATTAATATTATAGCAATAATAGAAACTGGTCATTTGGTTAATCAAGGAGTGTACTGATGCATGGAAAAAAAAAAGAAGGAAAAAAAAAAAGGTTTACTTCCTATAAAACTTCAGCAAGTATGATGGAGTTTCCATACTGGCAGATAGTTATGAAAGAATATGAAAGGGAAATTGTTTTACTGGCTTGGGTCCTACATATGGACAATTTCTCTTTAATCATCCTTGAGAAACAACACAAGTCTGGACTATTTATTTAATCATACATGAACCCAAAAGAAGTCCAGTCCAAAAAGACATAGCCCTTGAAATGCATTCTCTCACAAATTAGATGAGAGCAGTGAAGATTTTTTGAATCCTGAGAAGCATAACTGGGAGTAAAATAAGATGAAGTTCTTTTTTGTGTATGGGAAATCTTGCAAAACAGAGAACATAATTCTAAAGACATCATTAAAAATGACTGGAATTTATATATGTTTTGCACTATTTACTTAGGAAGTCATATAGGGAAAAAGACAGAGACAATAAGCATTTTAGATTGATTGTTTCATGGAATGAAAGGTCCTGCAAATGTTCAAAATGCTAAGATTACTGCAATTCAAGAACTTTGCATCAGAAGGGTATTTCAGTATTAATTAATATAACTTTTCATATTTATACTAATAAAGATTTCAAAAATGCTTGGCAAGAGTGGCATAGAAATGTTCCCCTTTATCATTGCTTATTGGATACTCCGAAACATGAGTATGGCTCTTGAACAGTTCTGTAATCTACCTGCTCAAAGTGCTGCTATGTAAAAAGAAATAACCTGATACGGTTTTAATGAAAGCAAACAAAAGGACAGGTGTTCCCCTGTGTTTATTTGATTTAATTTAGTAAGTCAATGCATAAATAACTCAGACACTGCAGCTGAGATTTAATCTCCAGCAGCAGTAGCAAATATGCATTTTTTTTAAATTTAATTCACTTAAGTAAATGTTGCTGAACATATATTCTTAGTTTTCATTCTTTCTTCATTTAGATTCTTCAGAAATGATTTAAATTATAATTTCTTAGTCTACCCCAATCTGTTTACTCTGCATAGCCATGATTTAACATGTAAGAAAAAAAAAAAAACTTGGTAAAAACATGAAAAATCTGTATTTTTGATGTGCTTTAGTTTTGATTAAGCTTTTACTGGTGAAAGGAGTGTTTTTATGGTAATTTTTTTACTACCTCTGTAAAATGACCCTTCCCCAGCATCCTTACCCCTGTAATATCTGAGTAGTTTCCAGTATGAAATAACCTCTTTCACAGATCGCAGTCTATCTATGATGTGCAGATCCAAAATGTATTTTAATTTTTTTTTCTTCTCCTGTCAGGGAAGCAGGGAAGAAGAGAACATTTATTTTGAATTTGTGCAATTGTTCTTTTTCCAGGATGATTCAGAGTGGCTTTTTTCTTTTATTCTTTCTGATCCTGTGTGAGTAGTGGCTCTTTTTTTTTTCCTTAGAAATGATATGTTTCAATCATATCTGCAATGTGACATAACAGGTATCTAAATAATGTGCTTCTCAGTAGCTTTCAAACTGAGCTAGCTGAAAGAAGCATGCTTAGTTCAAGTAGAAAAAATACATATGTCTCATTATGGCAAAAACACAGAACTGGCGGATGCTACCTTGACAGAGCAGATCTATATTTTCACTAGAAAGTAAATTATTATTGCAATCTATAAAAGTGTTCACAATTTCTTTTTCTTTTTTTTCCTCTTGGGTCATGATATAACTGTTAAACAGAGTGGACATGAATACTGAAAAGGTCTTTGTCTCATATGAAGATGCACAAATCAAACTTGTACCAGGTTTTCTAACATTCCTAAATATCGCAGAAGGAGACAGTTTCCTAAAAACCCTTTTCATCTCTTGAAAACATTGTCATATCTTGCACAAGTTCATTTAGATGTCTTTATAGGACTGATGAAAAGCAGGCTATGGAAGAGCTCCAAGTCACAGGCCAGCAGCTCCTTGAGTTCATGCTGCTTTAGGATAAAAATCCTCTATTCCATGTTGTTTTTAAGAAAGTCTGGGAGAATCCAAAGTGATGCCCAGGAGTGAATTCAAAATTAAGCACACAATAAAAAGGTTCAATACTCAAAGGAGAATTCTGGTCCTCTTTGCTTGAGCAGTAAATGTAAAGATAGTGATTTGTTAAGCAGTAAGGATATGCCCTTTAATTCCTAGGCAAAGGTGCCAGAGAATACTGGGATGAAAAATTGCATTGCTGTGATGAGAGGTGATCTGTCTGGCTTGATGCACTATCCCAAGAGGACAAGGATTGGATTCCTCTGAATGTGCAATTGACACTTTCTACAAAGTGTGATTAATTTAGCTTTCTCTGGATGTGTATTATTTTTAGCTTACATGAAATTAGCCCATCTGTTAATTTTACTTGGATTTTTAAAAAGAGACTTAAAAGAGAGAAACATTCTGTTTGTATTGTGAAGGTACATTCATCCAGTCTTCATTTTTTTACTTAAACTAATTATGCACCTTTTCCATATGTAAAAGAAACATATGTATTTTATTACATTTTTATATGGATGAGGCATTTTTTTTTGGCAGTTTACATAAGGATGAAAACAGAGAGTGCTGGATGCTGCTTAGAGCTGCAGCCATATTTATGAATTGCTATTTACTAATTTCCTTTCCTTCTTGTCTCTAGGGAACCTTGAAGGTGGCCGAGGTCATCACAGCAGACTGCAAACTGATTGAAGCCTCTGAGGAGGTAATAATACTTTCTCATTCCTCTCTTGTTTAATCTTGACAAACTAGCTGTAACTCGCTGTGGATTAGCAATGTACAATCTGGTAGAACAAGCCGGGTTTAAAGTATGTCTTTAAACTTCATTAAGGGTTTTTCATTCCTACATGATTAGAAAGTTTTTTTTTTCTTTGTTTTTTTTTTTTTTTTTTTTTTTTTTAAATCTGAGCTGCAGTAAAAGCTGGGTCACTGGGTTAATGGACAATAAGAAACAATTAATCTATAAATCCACTGAGTTAATGTAATGATGTAGAACAGATTTTTAAATCTTAAAGGATTTGGAGGACTCTGTTTTCCCTTTCTGTTGCTTGTTAAGTAGTAGAATATACTTTACGTGTTCCATTTTAGCAGACATTTTGACTTCCAAAGCAACCAGTAGTGCTTTCACTTGCCTGTGGTACTTATTTCCGTCTTAGCTGATTGTGTAAATCCTTTGACTGTGTGGTGTGTATTTGTCAGCATACACAGCAAACCTCCCTCTGAAAGCTAGTGAGAGATTTTATGAATGTTGAATGGGTAACCAAAACAGTAGTGTTTTTGTTTCACTCCACTTGAGGCAATAGATATTTTGCACGTAAGAAATTTTAATCATATCACTGTCATACTCTGCCCTGTGTCTAGAACTAAGTATCAGTGCTGGAACAATCCTTGAAGCCAGGTGAGTTTTACTGTAAATATTTTCAGCATGGTTCCTGTTTAACTAGTTTAACTAAATGCTTGTATAGCATCAAAACGTGGATATCAGAATTTTTATTTATATATATATAATATTTGTAATAAATCCATTATAGTATTAATGCTACTGTTGAAACTGTGCTAAACTTCCAAATATGCAGACTGAGATATTGTTATACATAAATATTCCATGCTTGTGTACATATTTATATCTTTATCAATAGCAAGCAAGGGTGTATTATACTAACAAAAGTACTGAACACATTTTCTGTATGTATGCAGGCTTGAAAGATCTAAGACATAATTAAAACTGTTAGTTACATCATTTCAGTCAAGTGTTTAAAACCTTGGTGACTATAAACCCCTTTTGTAAGGACTTGGTCATTAAAATGGCTCCTTACAAATAAGAGGAGAATTCCTTACAATCCTTACAAATAAGAGGAAGGTGCATTCAGGGAGGGAACTGGAGGTTCAGCAGACTAATTGCATATCACAACGGATAGCAAATTGTATGTGTTTGATAAATAGAGAAGAGCATAGAAATCTGTGTCCATCCATAAAACCCCCTTTGCCTCTTCTCCCCCAACCCAGACTAAAACATTACTTAGTCTTAGAAGCAAATAGAGCTGGCGTACAGATGCATTTATAGAGAGAAGCAATTGCTTCAAGATGGACCATGGTGGTTGATAAAAATAAATAATGAATAAATAATAGTATGTGCTGTGTTCTCGACTGGCCTAAGACACAAGGATTTATGTAGAGATCACTCACCATTTTTCTGAAAAGTGTTTGAAATCTGTTCCAGATAGACAACACATAGTAAATGCACAGAACCAATTCTCTCATTTAGGGTCTGTGATTATGAAGCAGAAGACCTGATCAGTATATTTGCTCTGAGTGAACCTAATTAGTTCATTTATCTCACACTGAGGAAAAGCTGGATTGATTAGATGGATGGGGAGCAGGTTAGGTCAAACATCTACCTGGAGTTTTCATCAAGTGGTGGCATTGTAGTATTTGAAGGGTTAATGGTTTTTAAGCTTCTTTTAATTGGAAGTAAAGATTGTGTAAAAGTTTTCTTTTTATAGCATTAATCTATAGATTAATGTTTCCTGTATTTTAATGACATATTCCCCAGCACCAGATGAGTGGTATACTAACATATAATCAAAGTCAGTCATAGCCTGCTGGCAAGCAATGACCTTACCTTCAACTCATCATGATGGATAAAGAGGGTTCAGCCTTTTTTATTCTTTAACATTAGTTTGCAATACAAATGCATAAAAGGCACAACTTGTATTTTTTTTGCATGCTCTTCAGAATGTTGGCCAGAATAACAATGCAGTAATATCTGCTTTCTTAAAGCACTTTTCTTTATTTCCTGGTTGAAGTTTGCCAAGGGGTGTGTGTTTGTGCGTGTATGTGAAAAGAAGAGACAGAGACACAAAAAGGGCTGAAAGTTCAGCAGATTTTCTGAGATTTCAAATGCAGTTTCTGTGTTGCATGTACCTAAAAAAAAAAAAAAAAAAAAAAAAGAGCATTAGCTAGTTTGGGCAGATTTTAATGTAACCATTGTACTTAAATAAGGCTTCCACTCACAACTGTTTCCTGAGGCATTTATTAGTTCAGGCATGTATTCTATGGATTATAAAAAGAGCATAATACTATATTTGAGTATATCATCTAGATTGTATGTATTTTAGTCTATTTTTGTTGCACAAGGGAAGCTAAGTTTTTTTTTTGCTCTGTTTCCTTTGAAGCCTTCCTCTCATACTGCAGTATTAGGGGAGGAAAAATCTGTCTAACATTATATGCTGATACAATTAAATGCAGAAGCTGGCTAGCATTTCCATGTATTGGCTGCAAGTCAAGGTACCCATAAAAGTAAAAAAAAAATATATATATATATATATAAATCTATGTGTATGCATTCATGTATGCATATATATATGTGTACATAAATAATAAAATATAACTGAAATACGGTAATTATTTTTCTCCTGATTTCAAGTTGGATTCCACTCCTTTGTTTTTGCCAAAGTAAGATAAATCTAGTATTTCTTTCAATCTATCCTGCAGTATTTATCAGCTCAATAAACATACTCTGGAAAACCAAAGAGAAACTATTGGTGTTCTTTAGCAGAGAGTGAAACAAAGCCAGACATTCTGAGAGTTTATGAGAGCATGTAAAAAGATCATTTCCTGAAAAAGTCCCTAGTTAGAGTGGAAAGATCAAAATGGCCTGATAGGGAGATTGTGTTAGTTACAAAATATGATGCACGTTGCATTTTGGAGCTATCATCTACTTAACACTTACTGTTGCTGGACTGAAGAAAAGCAGCACCTGTTGATGCCTTATTGAATGTGACAACAATAATGAAAAGTGTAGAGGAGGTGTAGTGATGAACAATATAGATGGTAGAAGGAGCCAGCTTTATGCTGTGGTGAGTGAAAATTCCCTTCCATCAACTTGAGGATTGACTTAGCCCCATGACTACAGACTCCTAGCTCACTGACAGAAAAATGAGCTGTACAACCTTCTACTTACATTAAGAACTATACCAGCTCAGCCCATCAGTGCATACTACTTCATACTACTTTTCTGTACTGCCCTAATGTATCAGATGCTTTTTTTTAAAAAACTCCTATGTTATTTGCCAGGCCTATCAGAACTACCTTGCAGATAGTTCTTCAGATAGAACTTGCCCAAGACGCAGTTATGTATATACGTGATTAACCTATGTATAATACCATCTCCTCAGCACACATGGAAATACTGAAAGTATAATAATGAGCAGGACAGGTCAGAAATTTTTCATCAGAGCTCCTTCTATTTATATATTTATTTATTTTATTCAAGACTGTGCATTTCATGTTTTAGTTGGAAATTCAATTATCTGTGAAAAGAAACTGAAAGATATCCCCACAAAACAAACAAACAAACCCAGCAAACCAAAACAAAACAAACAAAAAACCCAATAACCTAAAAATATATTAGGGTGTGGTTATGATGATTAGTGAAACCCGTGTTGGGTGCTCTGTGTTTTCCTCTTGCTCTTCAGGATGGAGCCTAGGTACTCCCATGGAAGCAACCAGGTGAGTCAACGAGAGAATAGATGGTATAGTATGTATGGATACTAAATTAGAAACATTCACTAGGCATGATAGGGTAGATATGGATAAGGCATCATCTATACAAAAACTTTGGTAATGTTTTTTCAATTCAAAAATTTTTATCCATGACTTTCATGTTTTAAGCTTTTAAGGTTCAGGTATATTGTGTAGCCTTTTCAGTTTGTATCTCTGTGATTTCATGTGGCAGTAATGTTGCACATTGATTATTGTTGTTTGTTTTTTTTTTTTAATTTTAGTTTTAGTTTAGTTTTCCCTAACTTCTGGTAGTAGTTACTGTTGAAAATCAAACATACTTGTTGCATTGTGAAATAATCACTGTTTTTGTAGGATAGTTGCTCAGGAACCCTGAAAAACTGGATGCCATTTTCTAAAGCTTTTTCTACATCTGCTTGCAAGCAGAGTGGTAAAATCTTCCCTTCATTATGAAGAAAAGAATGGGGATGGGAGCTGAGAGAGAGGATGAGAAGAAAGTGAAACTCAGCCAAGTGCACTATGTCCCCTTGGGATTTAATGGGCAGCTTATAAGACTTCACGCACTAAAGCATTGATTGGCAAAAGCTGTGGCAGTCTTCCTAAGCTAACCCTGATAAAGACATCCTTATTCTGCCTTTGAGCTAGGTTTGGTTTTCTGTTTTTGAGTGGGAGAACAGAGTGTGTTATATTAAAAGAGCTAAACACTTGAAAATTAAGTTGTGCAAGATGCATGCTGATTTTTCACTTGTGATTTTGAGAGGACAATGGAAGTGCTGGATTTTTCATCTTTCTGTAACCTCAATTTTACATTGAAGGTGAATCTCATCTTCAGGAATAGAGCATAGAAATGAAAGATTGTTCTTCATGTAAAAAACAGCTTGAAAAATTTTCTAGGAGATCCAATACTCGTAGTTACTCAAAATGCATTGCTAAATAACAGGCTGCTTCTCCTTTTCTTTAATTCTGCTCAGTACTGCACATTTTTTTATTTCATTCCTTGTTGCCATGCATTTACCTGGGATGCTCATTAATCTGGTATTCCTATTATCAGCATACTTTGAAAGAGACCAAATTTCAACCAGAAATCTTGACATATATGTAAATCTTCCAGTTAGGAAAAGATAAAACACCACACGTTGGTGTCTATGGGTCAACCACATGCTATATAAAATAAAGTTCTGTGTAGTTGAAATAAATGAAAAAGAAAAATCATTAATCCATTTTAAAAAAGACTGAATTCTTTAATGAACGGTCCTTTCAAATCAGGTAATACTGATTTGATAATACTTTCTCTGACTGTACGTACTAAGTAACATAGTATACCTCTGTGCTGAGGAGTGTCTGCAGACTACTTCAGAAATACTTTCTTTGTTTTCATCACTGAAATGTCCACCTCTGCTTGCTACATAGTTCCCAGTGGTAGGAGGATAGAGAAAAACACTTTGTACTGGATCTACTGCTCTTAGATTACTTTGCAGTTTTCTTCAATGTGTGGGGCACCGGGGAGGTACTGCACATCTTTTGTTTCCTATTTTCCCCCTGGAATCTTTGAGGTCCCTTCCAACCCGAGTCATTCTTGGTTCTATGATAGTGCTCCTTCTTGACTGCACCGCTGAACACCATGTCCATGTGTTTGCTGCTGGGTATGAGGTACTGCCTGAGTTTTCCAAAAATAGTCCCTTATGTGCAGACACTGGAATAGCTCTAGTTAACTACCAGTGGTGGATTCCCCAAAGATAAATTGTAATGGCCATATTTGAGTGAAATTCTATAAGTTCAGTAATGTAATTAGTAAGCAACTACCTGTGTTGAGCCCTCAGATGGTGCCTCGCTCTGGTTTGGTAAAATATTTACATCTCAAACAGAAATTCGGTGAGATTTTGTGTGATTTTCAGCCGTTTTGATAAAGTCAAGAATTTTTGCTCTAAGAAGAGAAAAATATAGTTAGCAACTGTGATGTGGGTAATCACCTTGTTTGTGTAAATTACAGGATCATTTCTGAGCCACTGAAGAGAGACGGCTACGAAACAGTCCAATGCAAACAAGTGTGTATCAGATGAAAAGTTTCCATGAAAGAAATACTAATGCTTATTGAAGAAATAATAGTTGGAACTCATGTAGACACTCCTCTCCACTTGCAGAAAACCACATCAAAATCTGAAGCTATCCAAGAGAAAGTGTTATAGCCCTCAGGAAAAAGGTGAGACAACTTTATAAGTGTCTAGTAGAGCCTTGCCCATTTCTACTGCAGTGATGTTGCAGTGAAACAGTAATGGGAGGAAGTATTGTATTATGTGATAAGGTGGTGGATCCACTCTTGTTGGGAACGGCACTGTGACACCTGCGACCTTCTTCCACTTGCCTTCCCTGGCAGACAGCAACTCTCCTATGCTCTCCTGTCAGCTTACTTTGATTTGTGGAATTAATGTCTTGCAAAATTGTGCCGTTGCCTGTGAAGGCATGGGACTGACTTCAGGGCAGGGTTCTTTGTGTCTGTGTATAGGAGGTTGTTTTCCCTGCTACATTGGGTCTGACCTAAAAACTTTCGGAGTAACTTTCTGAGAGTGTAAGCATGCCCTGGGCTCAGCAGGATGTCGCTGAGATATCATGAAATTGTTGGTGTCCAACCACACGTGTTGTTTGATAAGAGTGTATGTTTACCATCTCAGACTACAGGAGAAATGATTCTACTTACTGTGTATTTGCTAGCCTATGGACAGTGCCTAAATGCTCATGCTTTTTACTCTATTTAAATGATGAAGAAGTAACTGAGAGGAAAGTCATAAGTTCTTCTATGCTCTATCCTTTAATCCTGAGGAGAGTTTACCAGCTTAATTTGTCTGGAGTTGAACATCAAGAGCTTTAAACATGAGTGATAAGGAACTTTTAGAAAAATTGGCATGCTAGAACAGAAAGATTTTGATATTGAGGTACTGTACATTGAATAATGTTATGAGACTTTGAATTTTTTTTTTTTTAATTTTGTTTTCTGCAAATTCTAAATTCATCTTTCTTTTCAGGTGTCAAATATTTTTATAAGGATTTTTCAATAATTATGCATTTCATTACTTTAAAATTGAGGATTTTTTGAGGTTTTTGTTTGGTTGATTTTTAAGCCATAGGTTTACTTAATTTTTTTAGTCTGCTTATTCTCTTTGTTCAGAGCATAGCACATAGAATTAGTATTTGGTGCCTACACAGTGCAAAAGTCTGTGTGATTAAATCTTTCATAAATGTATTATTTAGATAGTTATATGCACACATATACAGTGTTAATATATAAGTTCCTGACTCCCTGCTAAGACTGGGAGTAGGGAACCTCAGCTACAGTGAAATGAGTGTTGAAATTGCAAGTGGTATTTATAGTCAGAACTTCCTTCATTAGAACCTTCCAATCCAAAGAGTCAATCAGTCTGGTTGGCTGACATGCTGAAAGCTGAACATCATCAAAATTATTAAAATTCCTCCTCAGTCAGCCAAGTGGATGTATATTTCCACTTCCTCCACACCCCAATTTTTTCTCTTCTTCTGAGGTGTCAGTAGTCAGTCTGTCAGCAACCCAGTCCAGTCATATCTGCACATGAAAAATATTCAAATTAACAACAAAACACACCTCAGCTGAGGTTTCCTCCCTAGTACAGTACTATTTAGTACAAAGTTTCTTTTTAGCAGCTCATTTGATGCTGAACGCCTGACTTCTGCTGCCATAATAGCTGTTAATGGAAACTTCACCTCCTGCAAAGATAAAGATGGATTTTTGGCATCTGTGAGAGATTATGAAGAGTAAGAACAATATTAGATGGAATCAGAAGAAAAGGAAGCATATGTACCTTGAGAAACACTCAGCTGGTTTTCATTATACACCAAGCCTATATTTATTACAACGACTAGCCAAGAGATAGAAATTGATAGATCTCTGCTCTCTGACCAAGGAGGCTGATGTCGGCTTGATAAATCCTTCCTTTCTTCTAGGTTGTACATGTACAAGTGACTAGAGCTATTCAAAACTACTGGGAGTCTGTCTTGCAAACATCTTTGGAGAGAATTCTTCATCATGTTTTTCTGTCAGTATTGCTCCTTTGTCTTTAGCTCTCCTTTCTAAAGAGGAAAGCAAAAGAAGTGAGGTAAAACAAGAGTTATTTCTTTTTATGAGAGTAAAACGAGTTGTTTTTTATTACAACAATTTTAGTTGACTGGACATCAAATAAATTAATCATTTCTTTAAAAAAAATTTTCATTAGAAACTCTTTCTAAGAATGTGCGAATGCTGAGAAATACCTCAAAGCAAAGAAAAGAGTAATTGAAAATCAGAATTTGAAAACTCAATCATTAGAAGTGAAAAAAAAAAAAACCACGAAACAACAACAATAACAACAACAACAAAAAAATTCTCTTGAAAAGAGGCTGGTTAAAACAAAAGAAAGAAAAAGGGGAAAAATGCTTGTCAGTGAGAATGAGAATTGTTTTGTCTACTGTTCAAGTCCGGAAAACATGAAACCTTGCTGAGCTGTCACTAAAGATAACTAGGCAACATCCACAAACCAGAAAACATTTGAGTATATGACTGAAGGCACTGTGAAGGGAGCCAAACGAATCAAGTAAACATAATGCCATAGCAAAATGTATATATATATCCATTTAGTTACAACTGAGTAAACTTGGAAATATGTTGCTGTAAACAAGTGTGGGGATTGGTTACATGTTCTCCACATCTGAATTGAAAATTGAGTTATACAAATCAGATGGGAAGGCCTTTTGGAATTCTTTCTGAAATTAACTTTTGAATTAAAGGAGTGGGAGACAGGAGTTGTCTTTTTAGCTTATCCAAAAAGGATGGGAGTTGAGAGTATTTCAGAAGTTTCCATTATACTTGTTTGGTCTGTTGCAACTGTTCCTGGAGCACTTTTCTCCGTTTAGATCACAGTAGTCCATTCTGCACTCCTCTGGAATAACATGTAAAAAAAATCATGGTGTGCTGTGTAACTGCCACCAGTACAATCCTCTACCTTTTTCACTGACTGCTGAAGTTGTAAATGCGCACTCTATTGTGGTAGAATTTAAATTCTTATCACTGCTGGAGGTGCCAAAATTCAAATCAGAACTTCAGTGGTGGTTTAATACTGGCACGCTCTTCAAGTGCCGAATGATTGAAAGTCGTATACATCCTCATCCACTGGAAACTAAGCAGTATATGTAGGTAGAATATAAGATGGTGTCAGGATGGAGCAGAATTTCCTCTTCTACAACAGCATTTTAGTTTCTTTCTCTTCTTAAGACATATTTAGATATGGGGAGTAATAACTCACAAGCTAAATTACTTCCACCTTTGTTCTACATGTCCAATCCCATGAAGAACTGTCCAAGTTAAGAAGGTTAGCCTTGTTCTCACAGAATTTAAACCTGAAAATTTTAAATAGCGAATAGTTCCATGCTAAAAACACTGCAAATGTCCAAATCTCATTTAATAGATGAATTTAGTCATGCATCACAATAGTTCATGTGTAATATGAGCACTAAGCAGAGTGCAGTAAAAGGTGACTATGAATAGTTCTGAAATCACTGTGATAGTTTTCCTTGACAATTTGTTTAATGTTTTCACAACAAGTAGTTAAATTATGAACTACTTGGACATAGGTCTGCAAGAGTAACCAATTTCCAATGCAAAAACAGTGTACTACTCACTCAGATCCATTTTTGAGGACCTGGACTATCAGTTCCTGAAGTTTTCTGGTGACAGCCTCATCAGACTTTTCAGGCAGAGATATGTGGAGGAAATGACATCTACTGGAACTGGAGTTACTTCAGAGAAGTAGCTGTACAAGGGATGACTGACGGCACTTCATTTCAAATCACTAAAAAAGAAGGAAATTCTTAACAGACTACAAAGATGTGTGCATTTTAAATTATTTTTAGATGAAACTCCATTTTGCTTTTTTGCACCCTTCTAAGTTGTGTCTGGAATCTGAAGGAAGTAATTTTGTTTTCCGTTCTATGAAAGCAGCCAGTATATTTTTAGAATACAAGATAAAAAGCTTCACTATGTTTTTTTAAGAAGTATGTCTTGTTGGATCAGCTGTGGAGTAAACTGTTGCTCTACAATTGAACTGAAATCATTTATAGGATAGTCATTATTCTGTTGCTAAAAAGAACTTTCATTTTAAGTCAAAGTATCTCTTCATTTACTTGTACAGTTTCTACTGGAAAACTTTGCTTAGCAGTTATTTTTAAGCCACTGTTATCTCAGTATAAGAAACAGAGTTTTAGCATAAGAGAAAATTAGCCCACAGAAAATGCAACCCTTAATAAATTTTTAAACATTGAGTTGTAAATGATGTTTAACAGCTATATTTGCTTCATAAGTATGACTCTTACCCTAGAAGTAGTGACCCATAGTATTGTACTGCTTTATATTTCACTTCACATATTTTTTAACCACCTAAACTGGAATATTTTGTTTAAGCTTACTCTTTGCTTGACTAAGAGAGACAGGCATCTCTTGGAAGCTGCATGGTCTTAGCTCAGAAAACATTTTAAAATGGGATGAACTGCCCCTAGACATTCTTCTTCCCATCCTGTCTTCCCTGACAAGGTCTGGGTCTGGAAATAGATATGTGCAGCCATCCTTCAATACAGAGGCAATGTGTTTAAAAACTCTAGTAGGGTTTTATTTCTAGAATAAATGGCATACACACACTGACAAAGACATAAAAGATCCACAGATGCTTTAGAAGAAGTGACAGGCATTTGAGAGCTACATGATACTTTCTTCAAATATTTGCAAAACCAGAATAGTCACAGAAAAAGATGCTCTTGGTTCTGCAAACCAAAACAAAGATATGACAGAAGCAGACTCCTGTAAGTACATTCAGCAGCCCAGGGGAAAACTATGAAGTTATGAATCTTATTTGGCTATTATGTACTTGCTTTTTCTACATAAGAGTGGGCAAAGAAGTTTATGTATCAGGTAGTTGATATCAAGCTTTTTTTTTATTTTTAAATTTACAAATAGTTTTTCTGTTAATACATCAAATATTTTTTACCTCAATTAGGGAGGTTCCTGACTGTACTTTTGTTGGCATATGAAGTAGATAGCACTGTCAAGCAATTGGAATACCAGTGGTGTAAATGTGCCCTAGAATCAGCTCTATTAGAGTTGACTATTAGCTTGCCAAAGCTCAGAAAGTTTTTATGAGATGCAGAATCCTTAAGGCTTCTATATCAGCTCTTGCATGTGGCTAGAAATTTAGAGGCACAGATGATGAAACAGAGAGATGTCTAGGGCTTCTGTGTGCCCAACATTTTGAGCTGCTCTTCTTTATTTTGTCTCCCTGAATTTAGCAGAAATCTACTCGTGTGGCTCACAGTCTGTTTTAGTATCTCTAAATGAGTCATTGGTTTGAACAACATGTTTATCACATGCTAAGTAAAAAGGATCCTTTAAACTTCATATCACACTTTAATTTATTTGTGACTATATCTCAAAAATTTTGCTACCAAAATCAGTGTTGTAAAAGCATATCAGATTTCAGCCTGTGTTCCACTTTTGCAAAGCAGGTACAGGCATAAAGACAAAGATTTAAAGTATGTGTAAGATTGTATTTGCATTTAGCTGCATTTTTTTGCTATGACAACAGTAAAGAAGGAAGGTGGAGTATCTTTTCAACTGCAAGCAAATAAGCATCTCTGTACCCTTTAAGATCAATAGATTTTTCATGAAGGTAACTTTACATCTTTTGTGTGATTAAGGTATTTTTGTAAAAAACAAACAAAAAAACCCAACAACAACAAAACAAACGAAGAAAAGCCACCTGTACTGATGTGCGGCAGGTGAATAAATTACATTAGTATCATCTAATTTTCTTTGCCTATGTACATTGAATTTGCTCAGCGTTGTTGTACAGGTTAGGATTCATGGTTCTCATATATATTGGGTCTAAATATTGCAACACAGATTCTAACCACATGCCTTCCTTGAGTATGACCCCAGGATATCTTCTACATGGACATTTAAGAGATCCATTGGCGTGGTTGTTTTTTTTTTTTTTTTTTTTTTTTTTTCTCCCCTGAGTAAGTCTTTAAATGCCTTGTATATATGGCTCAGCATCTCTGATTGCCTAGGGGGATTATTTATGGTCCGATTTGAGTTTTCAGACATAGTGAAAGCTACAGACTGGTCAATTACTTGTTATTTTTGTCTGTTAGTCATGAAAATTTCTCTGAGTAGGCCTGTGTCATGATATGGCAATCCATGTGTCAATACCTTGAATGGAATATAGGAAGACGAACAAGCAACTTCATACTGCAATTATTTCAGCACATTTTTGTTGTATTATTTTTTATTTTTTTAATTTTAAGTGCATCTGCAAGTTTTTGTCTCAGCTAATGTCTGGTAAAAAAAACTAGAAACGTTAAAAAAAAAAAAAGGCACAACAGGCTACGTTCCAAGAAACAGAAGCAGTTGGAGTATACAAATGAGACATTTTTCTAAATGAAAGCAGGAGATGTTTAAAATCAGACTTTCCATTTAGCAAGAGTAGTGTAATTGTAGACATGATAAAAAAAAAAATCCATTAAGTAGCTTTTGAAAAGTCTGTAAACAGCTTTTGAAAAGGGGGATGTCCATTTGGCAGGAATAATCCTATTAATAGAAGATTTCTACAATACTGTATAAATTCTTCTGCTCCTGTCTTTCCCTTTCCCATTTTATTACTATTCATATTTGGGCTGTAGAATTTGGAAGAAGAGCATCATTTTTCTTCAACTTGACACTTTTATTTCTTTACAAGCTGAAGTTTATCAGTGAAGACAAAGTAGACCAGGAAAGATGGGAAGTCATGAAAGCCAGGCTGAATGAACTTTCCCAATGAGTGTAAGGATATTTGGGAATGTCAACAGTAGGACTTCCTGTTGAAGCCTTGGGCAACGTTACAAGAAAACTGTCTGATTGCATACCATCATCCTGCTCTGCACTTAGTTATCCGCAATTTCAGTAATCATTTGTATTTCTGCTTTGTAGACACAGTTCTTTCACAGCTAGGAGTGTTCTACTTCACTGCTTTGCCTAGCCACCTGATTTCTGAAGTACTGATACTGAGAATCACTCTTCTAACAAAACAGTGCAACTGAGATGAGAATGACACCATGTATATTTTCTGATGTGTACATTACCATGCATTTATGGTCAAGAAAAAACAGAAATCTCACTTACTAGACAGTGAATGTGTGGTATCAGTAAGGAACTAAAATGTCAGGGCAGTAAAGATACCGTGAGAGCAACTGTGAGACGACTTGTAGAGATATCCCAGTGCCCTATGTTATTACCAACTATGTGAACTGAGGAACTTGTAAAAAATGACTAGGTTGTTAATCTTATCTATCTAATCTATAGTAAATATTTGCAGCTGGAGTTTAAAGTTAACATTCTTTGAATGTACAGCCTGGTGCTTATTACAAATTTTAGACACTAAGGGAAGTGCTGTGCAGAGTTAGAATTCTATTGTTTTGTATCTGAAGCCTTCTAAAGTGGAAACAAGCAAAGGTATGATTCTTGAGATTTCTTGTATGTCAAAGGAGTTCTTTGCACTGAGGTTTTCAGTCCATTAATTTGATGTAATGTAAGCCCATTATTTAATGCTAAATAACATAAATTACCATTCACTTTGGAAAGAAGTTACATTTTAAATTGGCTACTCAGCAGAAAAATGAGCTTCAGTTGAATTTATGAAGTAGTAAGCTTTTTTCTAACAATTTTGGTGGGGCAAAGGAGGAGCAATTGTTTGAAGCACTGACCCTGATAAGTTTGGAATTGTAAGGATAATGCCCCTACAACTTCAGTCCTAGGAATGCCTCTGCATTTAAACAGCAGAAGAAAGTATATATAGAATGGAAATAAAACAAACCTAGATTAGATTACATGTCCAGTGGTCTTCCCAAATGAAAATAAAGACTTGGAAGGATAGTTAAGAAATATCCTGGTACCGCTTTTTTTTTTTTTTTTTTTTTTTAAATATCTAAAAAAATGTCTATCTGGTAAAATTTTCTCAAGGGAAAGTGATAACTGAGGTAGATCTTGAGAACAATTTGAATGTGATAAGTATAATGTAATATCTTCCTATGAGCCTTGAGATGCTTTCACAGTTCAAGAGACAGAGTTTGTTGGGAAAATGAGCGGTGCCATGAGGAAGGCGCATCTTCAGATGTGTCTCCCCCGTGCTTCACCAAATCTACATTAATTCGCTCTAGCTGAAAATCTGCTTACTGGTGTTTTCAAGCTTGCATGGAGTGTAGAAAACAGAGTTAACATTTGCAAAGTGCTTTAAGAGTCTGAGAACATAGTATTGCTAATAAATCGCAAAAAATATAGGGTTAGATAAGCATTTTCATGACAGTGCTGTATGTGAAGAATGATTCCCTCAGCTTCTGTGAGATGGAGCTACCTCAGGATAAAAGAAAACTGAAATATTATTACATTACAGATTTGAATTTTATTGAGGTCTGTAAATAATCCACTGGGCCACAGTATGTTGATTGCCTTTGCTTTCTATTTTCCTTCTTTGTATAAGAATATAAATACAAGTTAGAAGATCTTCACTGAGTTAACTAATACTTCTGTGAATGACATTGATCTTTATGGTTCCTTCCATCGCAAGTTGCAACCCATAGAGTTTTTGTGAATCTAAGTCTTGTAAACATCTTTCAAAAACAAATACAAATAGTAAATAAAATCACTAGTGATTAAAAAATTAGAAGTAATATAATTGAAAATAAAGTAATTATTAGAATATATGCAAGGTGAAGAAAATGAACAAGCATTTCTGTTTAAAAGAGGAAAAAAAAAAAAAAACCAACACAAATGCGCTAAGTTTTCTATCTCCAAATCTGTAGTATTTGCCTTTTATGTTATAATGATGGTAAAGTTGAAAATACTTTATCATAAAATTGGCACTAGGTAGTGGGAACAGTAATCTATATTTTTATATATACACTTTCAGGAAAAAAAGGAAAAAAAACTTGTCCAGTATTATTTCTAGTAAAAAATCTCTACCCTTTCAATTTGAGCACTTCAATGAATTACTGAAGAGGGCACTACAAAGTGCTGCGTGCATGTGACCTTTTTTTATTTTTATTTTTTAAAGGGTAGCATGGATTTAGCTGAAAAATAAAACTGAATCTCATCTACTTTTGAGAGATAATGGTGCAATTACCTGAGTCTTGCAGCTGGCTGATGTTCTCCATGCAAATGTGAAGTGCTTTCATGAAGACTCTATGCTGTGGCCAATTATCTTCAGGAAATAACCTTGCTGTAATCGGCAGCCTAAAATGGAGTTAAGAAGGTCTTTGTGTGACAGCAAGCTTCCCTAGTGGGCAAATTTAAGGTGATGGCGTATTTACTTTGAAGAACACCATTACAAATTTGATCTCCCCTTATACTGTGCTTAATATTAGGGAAAAAAAAAATAAAGAAATAAACTACACTTTTAATGAAAGAATAAATAGCCACATATCTATCTTATAAAATGTCTAATGATTCCATTATGAAAGAAACAGACTGAGTCCTATCTAACTTATGGTAGTGTAGACATAGTGCTAAATGCAGTTATTAAATAAAGCTTAAAAAAAAATAATCAGTAACGGAGCAGTGCATGTTTAGCAGATTTTAAGTTAATATCTGTTTATTAACTATTGGAGTTTCCTCCATATAATTCTTCATTAAATGTAATGTTTAATTAAGGTATGTTTAATCAAGGAAGTTTGTTTTATCTTAATGTGAAGAACCACATTTTTAAATCTTCAGTAATATTTCTTTGACCATGTCACAGATTTGGATGATTGTATGTGATGCAATGAGATAAAAGAGAATAACAATGCCAGAAGAAGACTTGTGTTCAGCTTAAAATAGCTACACTGAAAAATAAATAAAATTAAGTGTTAAAAAACTGATGTGAGTTTAATTTGTAGATTTCATGAGGAATAAGTATTTGTACAAATATTTTTGCTTTTATTATGAAGTTTCAAATTGGAAGTATTCCAAGTCAATTAAACATTAAGTTGATTGTGTTTCTAAAGCACTTAGCTATTATTTGTAGAAAAGAGGAGAAATAAAAATTCCACCTAAAAATCAGAATTGTAGGTTGCAGAGGGAGTGGCACACAAAATGTAAATAAAATATAACAAAAATAAGAAGACTTTTTTTTTTTTTTTTTTTTTTTTTTTTTTTTTTTTTAATTTAGGTTGTTGAAAAGATGACCATCTTCTGAAAGGCCACCAGAAAAGGTTGAGTTACTTTCTTTTAATTTACCCTCAAGATGTTAATAAAATTATGGGATGAGAAGGTGGGAGATGTGGATAGAGTTGGATTACTGGTTCACAGTGAAACAAAATGATCCGGGGAATGGAAAACCTCCCCTATGAAGACAGGCTGAGAGCTGAGAGAAGGTGCCAGGAAGACCTTAGAGTGGTCTTTCAGTGTCTAAAGTGAGGCTATATGAAAGAAGGGGACATAATCTTTAGCAGGGTCTGCTGTGATAAGACAAAGGGAAATAGTTTCAAACTAAAAGAGGGTAAATTTACATTAGGATATAAGTAAGAAGTTTTTTACAATAAGAGTGGTGAGGCACTGGCAGAGGTTGCCCAGAGAAGTGGTGGAAGCCCAATCCCTGGAGACATTCAAGGTCAGGCTGGACAGGGCTCTGAGCACCTTGATGTAGCTGTAAGTGTTCCTGTTCCTTACAGGGGAGATGGAGTAGATGATCTTTAAGGATCCTTTCCAACTCAAACAATTATGTAATTTTATGAAATATAACACTGATTTTTAGAAATAGATTAAAAAATCAAGAGTCTAGATAATTGCTGCTTATGTTAAATCTCTACCTTGGTTAAATTCATGCAAAAACATTGAGGAGAAAAAATATTAATCTCAAGGCTATAATCTTGCTAAAGCATATGCCTCACTGATATTATCATAAAGCCACATGTATAACATTATCTCAGTGCATATATATGAGAGATGCATATGAATTCTCATGGTCAGCTAGGGGAATGCAGTTAGTAAAAAAGCGAAAAATAAGAAATGACCATTTAATTTTTAAATCTGATAATAAACTCTCATTATTTATTATTTATTATTCACTTATACAGTGAACAAAACAGATAATTGTAAGGGACGGACCTATCCACGTAACACTGAAACTAGTTTGTTAAGAAAAGCTTTATTGTGAAAAGAGAAAAGTATTTGTATCCTAAGGAAGACTAGGTATTGTAAAGATTTCAAATGGGTATGTACTTCTCAAAACAGCATAGAAACCTCTTACACATTGCTCCATTGAACAATACTTTGTTTGTAACTGCTAAAGGCTAGAAGAGAAAAATCTTATTTTGTTAGTAATCATTGCCACCTAAAAGAAATCCACTGGTTTATGGTGTTAAAATCAATTGTAAAAAAAGAGATTTGAATACTTACGTCTTGTTATGTCAGCCCAAGTTCAAGCCTGTAGTAATCTAAAAATAAGCTTGTTTTTTGGGCATGCTGCATAATGTTACTGGCAGTAAACTAAGGAGCCAAAACCAACATGGTGAATTAATTCATGTCAAGGGCCGAAAAGATTTATTTTCTTATGTGCTGTTAAGTTAATCTTCTGCTATCATGCTTAGATATCTGTTCCTAACCTGTAACTTACTGAGTCACTTGCGAAAACTTAGACTAAAATTTTTGTATTTACGCCTACCTTATGCTTTTATAAAACATAATATATAGCCTGCAGAAAAATGTTTTGTGGTGTACATGCATATGCCTTTCTAGTGCAATTGCATTGCACATAAATACATACTCTATAGACAAATTTAATACACCGTGATATTCAAGACACAATGTGTTCTGTGAGTCCCATTTTATAAGATCTGAACTTCAGTAATACAAGGCCTTCTTATCCTACAGCTATAATGGAAGTTCAGAGACAAACCTGGGTGCTACATCAAACAAAGATTAGCTAAAGTACAGAAGAAAAGCACATGCCAGAAGAGTTTTTTTTTCCTGTCTGGAAAATGGTCACAAAGATTAGAAACACTGAAAGAAAAAAGAAGAAAGAAATTTAAAAAGGCTGCACCACTTTAGCATTGGGCAAAAACTGAGAGCTGAGTAAAGCATTTATTTTACAGTGCTCTCATCTCTCTATGACCTGTTTGGCAGTTCCAAGAATATTTTTAATAGGTAGATAGATCTCAGCAAAGAAAATTGCTTTTATAAGTAGGTTAAAATGAAGGAGAGAACTTGAAGTTAATACCCCCTTCCTTTTCTTCTCCTTCCTCCTTCATAGAGTCTGAGCTCGGTAGATGTCATGCCTGACTGGCTCATGAGCTGATTGATCTAAATGCTGTATTAACCAACCAACTGAGTATATGTTAACCCTGGTCTAGCTTTTAATTAGTTAAAGAGAAGAATTTGTGAATATGGAAAGTATTAAATTAGAAAACATGGGAAAAACTGGAAGTATTGAGAAAAAGTGTGCTGAGAGAACATAAGGTCAGGCACTGAGAACTATTACACACAAAAGCATAGTAAATTGGGGCTCATTGTGGAATTACTTTCTTTATTATGGAAATGTGAACTTTTGACATTTTACATGAAATTCCAGTATTTATAGACATTTGCTTTCATAAATAAACTTGCTCACACATGCCTGTGTATTTAAAATAGCTAGAAATTATTCTGCAGCATAGGTTATTATGTACATGATAACAAGGTGATTATCAATGTCTAAGTTTCCTTTCATGCACCGACCGTCTCCAGCAAGGAGAGTGACTTGTCAAAACATAGGAAAATAAAGGTTAGTGTGGTTTAACTCCCATCTCCCCTTGCCCTCTGAAAGCAACCCTTTTCGTTGCCTTGTTGTTAGGCTGTCTGGTGCTGCCTTCCCCCTTCTCTCCTCCTTCTGTGCACTCAACCTTCTTCTGTCTTCAGTGGCCATCACAGCTCTCAACATTGAACTGATTTGTTTGCCCATAAGTGGAAGGAGGGGAAGGGAAGAGCATGTAGGAGATGGGGTAGTGGGAAGAAAAGTGTCCTATGGAGAGAATTCCAAAGCTGCAAGGGAGGGGATCTGCTGCAGCCCTTTACTCTCACCAGCTCTTGCATATTGTCTGGAGCCAGATGTTTTATACATAAACTTATACATTATCTGAGATTTATCTACACAGTATTTTTTTTTTCGAGGGATACTGGTTTATCAGAGGGTGGGTGATTTACAGAAAACAGGGTGATTCATCTTTTATCAGTTACAACCCGTCCAAAAAACTTGCTGCATAAAATCAGACTAGAAGATAATAATGGTTTAGATCCTTCTAGTGTAAAAATCTATTATGTGCTGGATTCAGTACCTTTTAAGCTAGATGATCATTTATAACTTTCAGAAACTCTCTTATGTTTTGCCATTGGCTGCTTGTGACCTTTAGCATATGTCAAACATATGGTGAATTTCTGAATTAATAAGTTGGAGAATCAAGGCATTGTATTCCTATTATCTAGTTTGTTTTAACTCCCAGTTTTACCATGAGACCACTGCATATGTATCATTCTCTTTCCATCTAACTTATTAAGAATATTAAATCTTTCCTTGTTGATTTGTTGATACATTCTCTTTGTTTCTGCAACAGCACCTGATCTGGTAACAATAAGAAAGCTGAAAGCAGGAAACATTACTTTATATTCAGGAAAAGGAGAAATCCCTTGTACTTCTTAGCAATTTTATATGACAAGGCTTGTAGGATACTTGCTTTACACATGTAGTCATTGGGAGGTAAAAATTTTGTTTGATCTCAAGGATCAAGGTTCTACAGCAAAGGATTTCTTAACCCTTGCCCAGGACTTGCTTGGACTTGTTCATCTGTGTCCCCAGCAAGCTTTGAGACAACGAGGTAAAAGAATAATCTCTTACACCCTCTTTTCTCTTCTTTTATGTATAATAGGTATCTACTAATTCACCTGCTCTGTTCCTCAGTGTTCTTTTTTCTTATTCTCTGCCTGCAAAGACGTTGATGATCTGCTAATTTATTCATTGATTTCCTTATGAATTTAGTCTTTTGACAAAACCACTCACAAATGAGGGTAGTCAAATAGGAGTATTTTCACATCTCTCTTAAGCACTCTGCAGGTTCTACTTTAAAAAAAAAAAAAAAAAAAAAAGAAAGAAAAAAAAAACCAAAAAAACGGCCTTTCTTTTATGAGGATTTTTAAGAAAACCCACAGATCTGTGAAGTTTACCAGAATTTACAGGAAACTTTACGACAGTGAGTGAGTAAAAGGAGAAAGAAGGAAAAATAATAAGGGAAGGCAAGGAAGTCTGAATAAAATAGATAAAATGAAACTGTCAACTCTTTTCTAATAATGCTAGGAGAGAGAGACAGAGATGTGCTAATGAAATATTTCCCAGGTTTCATCAAAGTAAAATTACATAAAAATATTCTTGTCAATGTACAGTCGGAGAAATTGCTGTGTGGGTTCCCTTCAGTTTTCCCCAAGTTGAACGAATACCTTTAATTTCACTGAAGCATTGAAGTCAAGAAAAAAATTTCATCACATATTTTCTGATAAATAACGGATAGAAATGATTCCCGGATATTAATAAGACCAACAAGTGTGTCCTGTGCAGAGAAATACGTGAAGCTCCTTTAGAAACACTCATAAATAAATAAATTTGAATAAAGGGTTAGTCTTTGTTTTGAGATGTACGTACAACCTGGATATGTTTGATTTGTGCCATTAGGACACCAGACTGGAATGCCATTTTAACTTTGAATACTCATTTTATTGTGAGAGAGGGTATCCAATATTTTATCCTCCCTCATGAGAGCGCATACTGCTTTTGAAAGAAAGTGCAGAAAAAAATGTATTTCTTCTAAGGAAAATTCTAGGAACTTCTGTAGAAATGTACTTTGCTGTAATTTTTCTCACAACGCACTCATGTTCAAGTTAACAACACTGCTGTGGCACTCAAATTTATTGTCTGACGGGGAAGAAAATATTTTAAAGTTACTTCAGTAGCTTTTCTTGTACAACAAATCTTCACGTCAGTACTGAGTACCTTGTGACTAGAAGCAGGAGCTAAAAACTTTGGTGACTGCATGTCTTGCAGTTTGCAATCGGCTCATGAGGCACCTAAAAATGGACTTCAGTGGTGTGAAATATGGATCTATAGAAACTCCAAAAGCTAGTTCCCAGAGCAATTAGGTACAAGTGTGGAACAGGGGTTTGCATATTTTAGCCAAATATACTCCAGAAATGGAGAATTTCTGTCATCCTTTCTGGTGACTAACAGTTTTTGAAGTAATTGCAGTCTGCTCATCTAGAGACAGAATGAGAAGGATTTTAGTGACTCCAGTGGAATCATTCCACATGTGGTGGAAATGAGATCATGTTCTGGGCCTCCTTTTATAGCTCTGGTGAGATACAGGGTTGCAAAACTTACACAAGAGACTGTGCCAGCTCAAGAAAGTTGCTGCTTTTATTTTCTTTTTTAAAAAGTATGCTTTGAATTTGTTAATGCCAGGCCATGGACCTTCATAATCTGCAGGCAAACCTGTCTTTTGCTAGTAAGTGCTATGCCAGTGACATCCTCACATCCTGCAGTTATCTCCAGGAGGTGCCTTCGCAGGTAGTGAACCAGCATGCTTGGATGTTGGGAGTGATCATTTTGGCTACATATGACAATGTGAACACCACATAGTAGAGACAGAAAGACAGGTTGGAAGAGAAGTATTACTTCTCTTAGGAAGAACTGAGAATATCTTGATCTTTGTTCTCCAACAATCTATGAACAGCTATAGAGCTATAGCAGTGCTATTTCCTTTACCATTTCTATACCAATTTCTATACATTATCTATGAAAGTCTATGTGTAGCTTTCTTTATACAATTGGTATAATATACTTAAAGCTCATTTGGCACATTTTTAGCCTAAAATGACATTTCTAAGGTTTGTAATAAAGCAGATGTGGGCTGGAGCCTTAGTTTATGGGGAAATAAATTGCTCTTTGGAATTTAAAAAGGTGAAAACCGATGGGGTGTCAGATCTGAAAGCAAGGACATTATTATTCATTGGAGGTCATTTTTTTCAATCCAGAATTCACTAGTTTTCATTATGAACTGAAAACTACACTCCATGTATATTTTATTATAGCCTAAAAAATTTATTCTAAGAACTGTGCGAGACCTCTACTTATCTTTTTTGTTAGATCATAAAGGCCTGATTCTGTCCCATAACCACTTTGGAAGGGACGGAATTAAATTGGTAGGACTGCTCATGGGAAAAGTTACACGTAACATAAAGACAGACCTGGTCTCCCAAGTATGTAACCACCGATGGCAGCAGTCATGGGACAGTTCCAGAAATAATAGTGGCAGCCATTTACAGAAATATAAGTGGAAAATTGTCCTTCATTTTTACAATTTCTGTCCCTCAGATATCTGCATTTAATAATCACTTTCTAGCAGTCTCATAATTGCTTGTGAAAATAGTACAACTTTCTGGTCTGCTGAGAATGCAAG